GAGTTGGAAGAGACCTCATGGGCCATCCAGTCCAACCCCCTGCCAAGAAGCAGGAAAATTGCATTCAAAGCACCCCCGACAGATGCCATCCAGCCTCTGTTTAAAAGCTTCCAAAGAAGGAGCCTCCACCACACTCCGGGGCAGAGATTTCCACTGCTGAATGGCTCTCACAGTCAGGAAGTTCTTCCTCATGTTCAGATGGAATCTCCTCTCTTGTAGTTTGGAGCCATTGTTCCGCGTCCTAGTCTCCAGGGAAGCAGAAAACAAGCTTGCTCCCTCCTCCCTGTGATTTCCTCTCACATATTTATACATGGCTATCATATCTCCTCTCAGCCTTCTCTTCTTCAGGCTAAACATGCCCAGCTCCTTAAGCCGCTCCTCATAGGGCTTGTTCTCCACCTTGATCATTTTAGTCGCTCTCCTCTGGACACATTCCAGCTTGTCAATATCTCTCTTGAATTGTGGTGCCCAGAACTGGACACAATATTCCAGATGTGGTCTAACCAAAGCAGAATAAAGGGGTAGCATTACTTCCTTAGATCTAGACACTATGCTCCTATTGATGCAGGCCAAAATCCCATTGGCCTTTTTTGCCGCCACATCACATTGTTGGCTCATGTTTAACTTGTTGTCCACGAGGACTCCAAGATCTTTTTCACACGTACTGCTCTCGAGCCAGGCATCCCCCATTCTGTATCTTTGCATTTCGTTTTTCCTGCCAAAGTGGAGTATAACACATAATAATAAAATCTTTTTTAAAAAGATGAGTATATAGGTAAGCATTCAGTTGCAAAAGGTGTAATTTCAGTGTGATTTGCAGTTTTCTTTCTGGCAATACTTCTATATTTGCATACTGTTGGGTGGGAATGAAAAATCAGCCCTTCAGTATCTTCCCAGGTGGGACACGAAGCTAAGATGAGCCCTGAAACTGAGCTTCCTCTTAGGTTTCTTTGTAGGACTGTGATTGTCACCTCTGAGACATGTTATGTGATCAGCTTTCCACCCCTTGCTCTCTCTCTCTCTCTCTCTCTCTCCCAGGGCCTGGAATGATGTTGTTGCCGAATCCTCAGTCGGTTCTTCCACTTTGTGATGGAGTGGAACTGACTCAGGTAAGCAGAAGGATTCCTGGGATTCATGGCCTGACCTCTGGAATGGGGAATTGGACAGGGAGGTGGATGCAATCGCTCCTGAACGTCCTCTCTCGTGGAGCAGATCCAAAGCAGCCCCTTGGTTTTGCAAGGAGTTGGCGGAGATGAAGCAAGTGAGATGGGGACTAGAGCGACATTGGCAGAGACCTCAAAAACAGATCTGAACAAGCCAACAATGTGACGCAGCAGCTTAGAAGCCGATGGGATTTTGAGCTGCATCCAAAGGAATGTAGTATCTACATTAAGGGAAATCACAGTGAGCTTCTTTCTGCTTTGGTGAGACCTCACCTAGAATAACACTGTCTCCGGTTCTGGGCAACACAATAAAAGCTGGGACATGTCCAGATTCCATTTCTGATTCTACATATCGAGAAATGGTTCTTAATTGTGATCAACCGGATGTCTCTACAAGGCTTAAACTATGGCATGGAGGCCTTAGCCCAGTGGTTCTCAACCTGGGGTCCCCAGATGTTTATGGCCTTCAACTCCCAGAAATCTTAACAGCTGGTAAACTGGCTGAGATTTCTGGGAGTTGTAGGCCAAAACACCTTTCCCCCCAAAAACCCAACAGGAAGGTAAACCTGCTTTAAAGAGATTCTTGTAATTATTTTTCTTGATAGTTCTTATGTGAGAAGGAAATGTGTTCTTTTCCCACCAGGTCCCAATCGCCTTTGAGGACGTGGCTGTCCGTTTCTCCCCGGAGGAGTGGGCTCTCCTGAATCCTGATCAGAAAGCCTTGCACAGGCAGATCATGGAGGAGATTCATGGGATGGTGGACTCTCTTGGTAAGGCTCCCTCACTCCTGGGGATTTCTATTTCAAAATGCAGTATTGTCCTAAATCATCACAATCACTGAGAGTCCTCAAGGCAGGGTTTATGCTAGAGATATGTGACATAAGAGTAATATGGACTTGGTGCCTGAGCAACAGCAATCTTAGCACCAATTTGGACTCCAGTGGGAAGACTTCAATAGTCAAGTCCAAGAGTACCACACTTCCTCACGGCACCAGGGCCCCCTGGAAAGCCTCTCAAGAGTGTTCACCCCCTATCAGTCATACCAACACACACTCCCTGTATCTCTGTGAGTGTGTGTGAGAGAGAAAGGCAGGGGAGGAGGTTGGGTAGCTGATTTCCAATAAGTAACCCAGCAAACCTCTCCTGACTTCAGGCACACATTTCCAGCCCCCTGGTTTTGCATCCTGTGTGCCCTTGGACGGCGTGGAAAGTTATTGCATGCCTGAAGCCAAAAGGAGTCTGGAAAATGATGGGAAAGAGTGGTTTTGCAAAAGCAGACTTGCTGTTGATGTCTGCTGAAAGTCTTCTTCCCAGTTACTCAGGCTCCAAGGAAATCCAGATTGATTTGCTGGAGAGTGGGGCCAGAGAATGGAGCATCAAAAAGAACAAACTTCCCCAGGCTTCCCATACACAGACACAGTGTATGTCTTTTTATCAGGGTCATAGTCAGACTTGTTTTCCTCCCAGCATACAGACATTTGCAGGATGGTAACCTGCAACATAATGTGTTCTATGTTCTGTCCTTGTGAATGATTGGGGTTTTTTTGCTTACAGTCACATGCGGAGGGAGAACAGGAAGTTGGAAGAGAGAAATAAAAAGAAGGGAATTGCGAAATGGGTGGTAGCAAGGTAAAGGTTTAGCAAGACAAAAAGGCAAGAATGTGAATGTGAAGGGAAAGGGGAGAAGGAGACAGAATTTTTAAAAAAGCATGCTAGGCTGAGGAACAGGTATACTGTGGAACATATGTTACTCAGCTCTCCCTTAGAGAGTCAAAAAGAGTCAATCCCTACTGAACAAGGGGTGGAGAGAGGACAATGTTTATATTGTACACTCCTTATCACTTATGCTGAGGAATTATTGTTTCTGTCTTTTTTCTTCACAGCAGATAACTGGAAGAAGAGCAATGCATACACCAAATGCAGTAAGCATTTTGGGCACAATGGGGGTCTTCCTAGACACCAGCAAACCCACAACGAAGACAGAGGTTCAGCTAGAGAAAAGCCCTACACATGCAATGTATATGGAGAGAAGCCACACCAGTGCCAAGAGTGCGGGAAACGTTTTGCCTATAGTTCAGCCTTGGTGAGGCATAAAAGACTCCACACAGGAGAGAAGCCATACCAATGCAAGGAGTGTGGGAAACGTTTCGCCTACGGTTCAGCATTGGTAAGCCACAAGACACTCCACACAGGAGAGAAGCAATACCAGTGCCAGGAGTGTGGGAAATGTTTTGCTTACAGTTCAGCTTTGGTGAGGCACAAAAAACTACACACAGGTGAGAAGCCATACCAATGCCAGCAGTGTGGGAAATGTTTTGCTGACAGTTCAACCTTGTTGAGCCACAAAAGACTCCACACAGGAGAGAAGCCATACCAATGCCAGGAGTGTGGGAAATGTTTTGCTGAGAGTTCACACTTGGTGAGGCACAAAAGACTCCACACAGGAGAGAAGCCATACCAATGCCAGGAGTGTGGGAAATGTTTTGCTCAGTGTTCACAATTGAAGAACCACAAAAGACTCCACACAGGAGAGAAGCCACACCAATGCCAAGAGTGTGGGAAATGTTTTGCTCAGTGTTCACACTTGGTGAGCCACAAAAGACGCCACACAGAAGAAAAGCCTCACCAATGCCAAGAGTGTGGGAAATGTTTTGCTTCCAGTTCAGCCTTCATGGGCCACAAAAGACTCCACACAGGAGAGAAGCCACACCAATGCCAAGAATGTGGAAAATGTTTTGCCTACAGTTCAGCCATGGTGAGCCACAAAACACTCCACACAGGAGTGAAGCAATACCAATGCCAGGAGTGTGGGAAATCTTTTGCGTACAGTTCAGCCTTGGTGAGGCATCAAATACTCCACACAGGTGAGAAGCCATACCAATGCCAGGAGTGTGGGAAATGTTTTGCTGACAGTTCAGCCTTGGTGAGGCACAAAAGACTCCACACAGGGGAGAAGCCATACAAATGCTATGAATGTGGGAAATGTTTTGCTTCCAGTTCAGGCTTGGTGAGGCACAATAGACTCCACACAAGAGAGAAGCCACACCAATGCCTGGAGTGTGGGAAAAGTTTTGCTTCCAGTTCAGCCATGGTGAGCCACAAAAGAGTACACACAGGAGAGAAGCGATACCAATGCCAAGAGTGTGGGAAATCTTTTGTGTACAGTTCAGCCTTTGTGAGTCACAAAAGACTCCACACAGGTGAGAAGCCATACCAATGCCAGGATTGTGGGAAATGTTTTGCTGACAGTTCAGCCTTGGTGAGTCACAAAAGACTCCACACAGGAGAGAAGCCGTACAAATGCCAGGAGTGTTGGAAATGTTTTGCGTACAGTTCAGCCTTGGTGAGTCACAAAAGACTCCACACAGGTGAGAAGCCATACCAATGCCAGGATTGTGGGAAATGTTTTGCTTACAGTTCAGCCTTGGTGAGGCACAAAAGAGTCCACACAGGGGAGAAGCCATACAAATGCTATGAATGTGGGAAAAGTTTTGCTTCCAGTACAGGCTTGGTGAGGCACAATAGACTCCACACAGGAGAGAAGCCATACCAATGCCTGGAGTGTGGGAAATGTTTTGCTCGCAGTTCACATTTGGTGAGCCACAAAACACTCCACACAGGAGAGAAGCAATACCAATGCCAGCAGTGTGGGAAATGTTTTGCTTCCAGTTCAGCCTTGGTGAGTCACAAAAGACTCCACACAGGTGAGAAGCCATACCAATGTCAGGAGTGTGGGAAATGTTTTGCTGACAGTTCAGCCTTGGTGAGGCACAAAAGACTCCACACAGGTGAGAAGCCATACCAATGCCAGGAGTGTGGGAAATGTTTTGCTGACATTTCAGCCTTTGTGAAGCACAAAAGACTCCACACAGGGGAGAAGCCATACAAATGCTATGAATGTGGGAAATGTTTTGCTTACAGTTCAGCCTTGGTGAGTCACAAAAGACTCCACACAGGAGAGAAGCCACACCAATGCCTGGAGTGTGGGAAAAGTTTTGCTTCCAGTTCAGCCATGGTGAGCCACAAAAGAGTCCACACAGGAGAGAAGCGATACCAATGCCAGGAGTGTGGGAAATGTTTTGGTTACAGTTCAGCCTTGGTGAGGCACAAAAGACTCCACACAGGAGAGAAGCCATACCAATGCCAGGAGTGTGGGAAATGTTTTGCTAGTAGATCAAATTTGGTGAGTCACCAGAAAATTCACAGAAGAGAAAAACCATCCAAAGAGCTGGGACAAAAGTAAAAAAAAACAATGAATTGCAACAAGGAAATTGCAAGTTTGGGCATGCTTGCCCTGTAGACTATACATTCAACATTTTCTGATGAACAGGTGTGATTTCCTTGCCTTAATGTAGCACTTGGCTTGACCTTGGACTGATTTCTTAGACAATTCCCTTCTCGGTTTCGAACCCTGTTCAGCTTTTTTGCTTTGTTTGACTTGAGACTGTTGTGGAGAAGTCTTTTGCTTCTCTGGTCACGGGCATCACCATGGGACTGGACTGACTTTTCTCTGTTCTGCCTTTGTGGGTAAACATCCAATTTCAAACAGGACCATTTGAGAAGTTCTGCCCAAGATTTGGTAGAGTCCACTTTCTTGTCCTTTGAATTCCAAAGGTGAGGTCCTCTTCTGTGGAGCAGCAGAAAGCGAGCTCCCTGTGGCAATAGTTTAAAAACAAACCAGATGTAACTCCATCGGTTGTTCCTCTGGGCTTAGTTTCCACCTCCTTTACCACCTTGGTTGCAAATTTCCAGTTTGTGAGTGTTGTCTTTCTGCTGGGATTCCAGAATTGAACACAGTCCTTCTTTTGAGGCTCAGCCCAAAGAAACGATGCTTGCATGGGTATTTCCCTTGATGTGCAAATTGTATCTCTGGCTTTGCTGTCTGTTTTCCCTGCTCCTGGCACGCACATTTTTAATCCACATTAAATTGAAAAACACAAGTCTTGTTTTTATTTTAGAATGACCAATGTTATATATTATTCATTTTGTTATAGACTTTGCGAATGGGATCTATTCTGCAAAATTAAGTGTCTGGATCTTATATTAAGGGAATAATAGCTTTCCATGGAACTGCACAGAAGCCTAGGATACATAGGGCTTCATAGTGTCGATCTCCATATGGGAAGTTTTAAGTGGTTTTAACGTATTTTAGCTGATTATTTTAATGTCCTGCAAAGGAGGACTTTCAGTTTTGGGATATTTATAATGGTTTTGTTTTATATTGTGTACTTCAATGCTGCTGTGAACCACCTTGAGTCTGTTGGAGAACGGCGCTAATGAAGCTTCCCAAATAAATAAGTTTGTCTGTACAGTAAGAAAAACAACAGCATTCATAGAATCATAGAATCAAAGAGTGGGAAGAGACCTCATGGGCCATCCAGTCCAACCCCATTCTGCCAAGAAGCAGGAATATTGCATTCAAATCACCCCTGACAGATGGCCATCCAGCCTCTGTTTAAAAGCTTCCAAAGAAGGAGCCTCCACCACACTCCGGGGCAGAGAGTTCCACTGCTGAACGGCTCTCACAGTCAGGAAGTTCTTCCTCATGTTCAGATGGAATCTCCTTTCTTGTAGTTTGAAGCCATTGTTTCATGTCCTAGTCTCCAGGGAAGCAGAAAACAAGCTTGCTCCCTCCTCTCTGTTAGGAGCCGGTTTCCAGGCCTTTGGTTTTGGCGCTAAAAACCAGGATCGTGACATAAAAACTGTGCAGCTGGTGACCTCGGGGATAGCAGTTGACATTTGGCGGGAAAGTTGCGCAGGATTCCTGGCTAGAGGGAAGGGGAATTTTGAATGTGGGGGAGTGTATAAAAGGTTGACCGGCAGCTGCTGGTCAATCCTGGCTTTCTTTGTGTCCGAACATCCAACAGTAAAGGTTTCTGATTGATTAGGGATTGGAGTCCTGTGTCATTATTGGGGACGGCTGTTGTGAGCTGACACCTCCCTGTGGCTTCCTCTCACATATTTATACATGGCTATCATATCCCCTCTCAGCCTTCTCTTCTTCAGGCTAAACATGCCCAGCTCCTTAAGCCGCTCCTCATAGGGCTTGTTCTCCAGACCCTTGATCATTTTAGTCGCCCTCCTCTGGACACATTCCAGCTTGTCAATATCTCTCTCCAGAATTGGACACAATATTCCAGGTGTGGTCTAACCAAAGCAGAATAGAGGGGTAGCATGACTTCCCTAGATCTAGACACTATGCTCCTATTGATACAGGCCAAAATCCCAATTGTATTAATTCGTATAATTAATACAAGCTTCCCACCTAGTCACTTCCAATTGCTTGAGAAAATTGAATTACCAGTAAAGAGATGACTGTATTTATGTGAATCGAAGGCACACCTTTTTTGGCTAAATGACCATGCCAGAATTGGGGTGCAGATCACATTCGTGCAATATGGTATAGTGCGGGTGGGCAGGTGCATGCTTACAGGAGAGGCAGCACGACCATTCACTAGCCTCCCAGCCTTCCCCAAGAGGCCTTTGCCTTCTCCTCCTCCGTTCATGGTTCCTGCCAGAGCCAGGACTGCCTGCTACTGGTGCAGGTGAGGCCTCCGTCCACTACACACATCTAGGAACTGAGCAATCTACCTTGGAAAATATTTAAATGCTTTTTCTAGTAGCAGGTTACTATTGATGCAGGGTATATTTTGCTGGAGCATGTAAAATCAGTTGGTGAGTGTGTGTTAACTGAAAATGCAAAGCATGAAAGTGATTGATTGGGCTAGTCCCAAGAAGCTAGCTGAGCCTTGGAGTTATGTCAACAGTTACATTTTTAGGCTTAAGCTGTGCAGGAGCCTTGAGTTCTCTCTCAAAGGACCTTGTGTGAGTCAATGCAACTGTTCACATAACTGTATATAAGTTGCTCTGCATAACAAAGAGTATACTACTTGTTCTTTATTGATCATTCGAGTGACATATCTTTTCTCTGGCATGAATGTGTGTAGACTGGTCAAAAATGAATTACGCATAATTCTCATTTTGTCACATTTTGTGGTGGTGCATCTGGGTCTCTTGTGTTCAAAGTAATTTCTGTGTTTCAAGCAGTAGAATCATAGAATGATAGAGTTGGAAGAGACCTCATGGGCCATCCAGTCCAACCCCCTACCAAGAAGCAGGAAAATTGCATTCAAAGCACCCCCAACAGATGGCCATCCAGCCTCTGTTTAAAAGCTTCCAAAGGAGCCTCCACCACACCCCAGGGCAGAGAGTTCCACTGCTGAACGGCTCTCACAGTCAGGAAGTTCTTCCTAATGCTCAGATGGAATCTCCTTTCCTGTAGTTTGAAGCCATTGTTCCATTGTGTCTTCAGGGCAGCAAAAAACAAGCTTGCTCCCTCCTCCCTATGATTTCCCCTCACGTATTTATACATGGCTATCATGTCTCCTCTCAGCCTTCTCTTCTTCAGGCTTAACATGCCCAGCTCTTTAAGCCGCTCCTCATAGGGCTTATTCTCCAAACCCTTGATCATTTTAGTCACTCTCCTCTGGACACATTCCAGCTTTTCAATATCTCTCTTCAATTACTACTGCTATTTTCTATCCCCAACCAAGTCAACAGATTGAGGAGCAAAGGCATAAGTGGGATATCAAGTGCGTTATCAAAACTTCAAGCATATCCAATGTATTTTGGCCTCTGTTTTTTAAAACGTATCATTCTAACAAGGTAGATGAAAATCTGGATCTCACTGAGTTACAGTCAGTTGTACTAGGGACGGGCAGGGTATATCTACTTACTTGACTATACTTATATTTTATTGATATGTTTAATTTTTATTATATGTTATGTTTTAAATTGTATTTATGATATGGTAAGCATTGAATTTTACCCTGTTAACTGCCTTGAGTTGCCTATGGGCTGGGAAAGGCAATATGCAAATACAGTAATTAAATTAAATAAATAAATCAGTTGAAGGAATCACGGGGGGATTCATTGTGGGTTGGGACTGGATAGGATATCAATGGGAGGCCAGGTGGGTCTGGAGGCCAGAGAAGCAGAGGCCCGAGTGGAAGGAGAGCCCAGCATTACCTGGCTCAGAAATAAATGCAGGCTTGGGTTTTTTACTCTCCACTAAAAAGCCTCGCGAATCTTGTCTAATTCTGCCATAGTTCCCTTTGCTTATCTCCATTCCCCTCTCCCAATTTAATCTCTATTCATATATCATATTGGTTATCCTTTTCGGATTCTCATTTTCTTCTTTCATCTGCTCTTTTAATATTATGCTTTCAAATTCCGTTAGCACTCTTTTCCCCTAAGCTCTTTCCCCTCCAACTTCTAAACCATTGCTCCAATTGTGGTACCATGATATCTTTAATTCCCTTGAGAGCTCTAACTAGAGGTCTGCTGTGACCAGCAGTGCTGCAGAATTTGAAGAGGCACGAGTGGAGAGCGAAAAGGAGACACGTGCCAAGAGGAAGAAGGCGCCTCAAGCCAACCCTGACCGGGTATACCTACTTATGACTCCACTATCTTGGCCTCTCCTTTTGTAGTAGTTGTGGGTAAGACTGAAATGTGGAAATCTGTGACACCCTTCCAACACAACTCTGATTGTCGAAGGCTTTCATGGCCGGAATCACTGGGTGGTTGTAGGTTTTTTCGGGCTATATGGCCATGGTCTAGAGGCATTCTTTCCTGATGTTTCGCCTGCATCTATGGCAAGCATCCTCAGAGATAGTTAGGTCTGTTGGAACTAGGAAAATGGGTTTCAATAGGTGGGGCAAAGAACTCTTGTCTGTTGGAGCTAGGTGTTAAAAAACTCTAAAATTACAAGGGGAAACCATCAGGCACATCTAATCACCTGTTAACAAAAGATTGCCCCAAGCACTGCCAGGCCATCAAATGCTAATCAAGTTGGTCAGTTGAAACATTAACACCTCCCTCCAACAGACAAGAGTTCTTTGTCCCACCCTGGTCATTCCACAGATATATAAACCCTTTTCCTAGTGTGGTGGAGGCTCCTTCTTTGGAAGCTTTTAAACAGAGGCTGGATGGCCATCTGTCAGGGGTGATTTGAATGCAATATTCCTGCTTCTTGGCAGAATGGGGTTGGACTGGATGGCCCAGGAGGTCTCTTCCAACTCTTGGATTCTATGATTCCAGGCTGAGACCTTCTTTCTCTGTTGTGTAGATGGAGGCTCTGCTCTGCTCTGCTCCCTGGACTGATGGATTCCCCTTAATGTTCAGCGGGGTTGGGCAGCAAGGGTTTGGCAGGGAGAAAATACAAACTAACTAACATTCCTATGAATAGGGATTTTTTTCCTCCATGGCTATCTCTCTGCCTTCACCTTCAGTCCTTTGGTTCCAGGGCTTTGGAGAGAGGCTCTTTTCCCCTCCTTCTAATGTAACTCTGGGCAAGGAAGGGTTAAGGGGAGGGAGTTTGGTTCCTAGAGAGGCAAAAAAGAAGTGGGCCTCCTCCTACCCGCCTTTCCTGTCCTTCTAGGAACCCAACTCCCTTCTCTTAACCCTTCCTTGCCCGGCTGGGAGAGAAGAGAAGGGTTTCCCCCTTTGGCCTCTCCTTCCTCCTCCTCCTCCTCCTCCTCTTCTCCTCCTTCCGGTGAGTCTTCTTCCCAATCCTTCTCCAAAGGGTCGAAGAGGGGCTGAAGCCCAACACACCTGGAGGGAGGGCCAAAGTGGGCCCAGGCTTCATTCCCTCCAAGGTTGGCCTCCTTACTTAGTTAGTTAAGGAGTCCATAGGTGACTGTGGAGCCCTATTCTTGATCTGCATCTTCTCCCACAGTGAGGGCATCAGTTTCCAGGTGGAAGGTGGTCTTGGTCAGGGTTGGCTTGATGCACCTTCCTCTTGGCACGTTTCTCCCTTTCACCCTCCATTCATGCCTCTTCAAATTCTACAGCACTGCTGGTCACAGCTGACCTCCAGCTGGAACACTCAAGCGCCAGAGCTTCCCAGTTCTCGGTGTCTATGCCAGAGTTTTTAAGGTTGGCTTTGAGCCCATCTTTAAATCTCTTTTCCTGCCTACCAACATTCCGTTTTCTGTTCTTGAGTTCAGAGTAGAGCAACTGCTTTGGGAGACGGTGGTCGGGCATTCATACAACGGAGTTGGTGGCGGAGGACCATCGTTTCAATGCTAGTGATCTTTGCTTCCTCCAGCACGCTGACGTTTGTCAGCTTGTCTTCTCAAGAGATTTGCAGGATTTTCCAGAGGCAGCGCTGATGGAATCGTTCTAGGAGTTGCATGTGACGTTTGTAGACAGTCCACATCTTTTTTTTATTATCTGTTTGTCTGTTTTGTTCTGTTAGAAATGCAATACAATGCTCTGGTTGCGGATGACACAATAAATAAATAAATCAGGCACCGCTGATGGAATTGTTCCAGGAGTTGCGTATGACATCTGTAGACAGTCCACGTTTTGCAGGCATATAGCAGGGTTGGGAGGACAATCGCTTTATAAACAAGCCCCTTGGTATCCCTACGGATGTCGTGGTCCTCAAACACTCTCTGCTTCATTTGGAAGAATGCTGCACTCACAGAGCTCAGGCGGTGTTGTATTTCGGTGTCGATGTTGACTTTAGTGGAGAGGTGGCTGCCAAGGTAGCGGAAATGGTCAACATTTTCTAATGTTATACCATTAAGCTGTATTTCTGGTATTAGAGAATGCCAGAAATTATTGACTATTATTATTATTATCAGGCACAGCTGATGGAATCGTTCCAGGAGTTGCATGTGCCACAGGGAGGAGGGAGCAAGCTTGTTTTCTGCTTCCCTGGAGACTAGGACGCTGAACAATGGCTTCAAACTACAAGAGAGGAGATTCCATCTGAACATGAGGAAGAACTTCCTGACTGTGAGAGCCGTTCAGCAGTGGAACTCTCTGCCCCGGAGTGTGGTGGAGGCTCCTTCTTTGGAAGCTTTTAAACAGAGGCTGGATGGCCATCTGTCAGGGGTGATTTGAATGCAATATTCCTGCTTCTTGGCAGAATGGGGTTGGACTGGATGGCCCATGAGGTCTCTTCCAACTCTTTGATTCTATGATTCTATGATCTGTAGACAGTCCACGTTTTGCAGGCATATAGCAGGGTTGGGAGGACAACAGCTTTATAAACAATCACCTTGGTATCCCTACGGATGTCCCGGTACTCAAACACTCTCTGCTTCATTTGGAAGAATGCTGCACTCACAGAGCTCAGGCGGTGTTGTATTTCGGTGTCGATGTTGACTTTGGTGGAGAGGTGGCTGCCAAGGTAGCGGAAAGGGTGAACATTTTCTAATGTTACACCATTAAGCTGTATCTCTGGCATTGGAAAGGGATTGGCTGGTGACTGCTGCAAGAGCACTTGGGTTTTCTCGATGTTCAATGACAGGCCGAGCTTCTCATATGCTTGGCCTCCTAACACACGCAGAGACACACTGACTGAGAACAAAGAGAAACAACTTTCACAAACTTTTTAATATTTCCCAATTAATTGTGTCGCTTCTTTCTTCCAGTGCTTTTTCTGACAAAATTGATGATGTCTGAAATAAATATATAACATTTGGGTTGTTGTAGGTTTTTTCAGGCTATATGGCCATGTTCAAGTGGCATTCTCTCCTGACGTTTCGCCTGCATCTATGGCAAGCATCCTCTGGAGGATGCTTGCCATAGATGCAGGTGAAATGTCAGGAGAGAATGCCTCTAGAACATGGCCATATAGCCTGAAAAAACCTACAACCCAGTGATTCCATCCATGAAAGCCTTTGACAATATATAACATTTATCTTTCCATTCCCTTACTCTGAAGCATAGCTTACAGCCGTGTTTCTCAGCCTTACAGTCATAGAGTTGGAAGAGACCTCGTGGGCCATCCAGTCCAACCCCAATCTGCTAAGAAGCAGGAATATCACATTGAAAGCACCCCCGACAGATGGCCACCTAGCCTCTGTTTAAAAGCCTCCAAAGAAGGAGTCTCCGCCACACTCCGCTCACAGTGAGGAAGTTCTTCCTCATGTTCAGGTGCAATCTCCTTTATTGTAGTTTGAAGTCATTAAGAGCGCTTCTCCTGTCTGAAATAAATAAATACAGAATTTTTGAGATTACATTAATTTTTATTGTTGACATTCTCACCAATAGAGATAGGTCTAAATTATTCTACCTTTGTAGGTCTTTATGTATCTCTTTCCATAGTATTTCATACTTGTTTCTAAATAATTTTCTGTTTGTCATCTGGATTCCCAAATATTTTACTTTAGTCGTTATATTGTTTTTGTCTCTTGGTTCTTCTTTACAAGAAAGGCTATGGATGATGAGGCATCAGCTGAAGGAATCATGGAGGGATTCAGTGTGGGTTGGGACTGAATGGGAGCTCAATGGGAGGCCAGGTGAGTCCAGGTGGGCCTGGAGGCTGGAGGAGCAGAGGCCCAAGTGAAAGGAGGGCCCAGCATTATCTGTCTCTGAAATAAATAAAGGGATTGTTTTTACTCCAGAAAAAAAGTCTCCAGAAACCTGTTGTCTAATTCTGCCTTTCTTTCACAGAGGAAATGTGATTGTTGGCTGAGAATTTTGGAGTAGAGCCTGTTGAGGGATTTCTTTCCCTTGAGAGAAGAGGGAGGGAAAGCATTTTGGATTCACTTTGCTTCTTCATCCATCAGTGGTTCCAGCATGGAGAGACGCATCTCACCTGGGCCTAAAGCAGGACCTGGAAGCATTGGATCATCCTGGGGAAAAACTTCACATAAGTTCCTGAGTGTGGACCTCTATAGTTCAGACATACAGTGCCAGCGCTTCAGGCATTTCTCCTTCCGAGAGGGCGAGGGACCCAGAGAGGTTTGCAGCCGCCTCCACTCTCTCTGCCGCCAGTGGCTGAAGCCAGAGCAACACACCAAGGCGGAGATCCTGGACCTGGTGATCCTGGAGCAGTTCCTGAGCATCCTGCCCCCAGAGATAGGGAGCTGGGTCCGAGAGTGTGGGGCAGAGACCTCTTCCCAGGCGGTGGCCCTGGCGGAAGGCTTCCTCCTGAGTCGGGAAGAGGACGAGAAGCGGGAAAGACAGGTGAGAGCATTTCCTCTTGGCTTCACTCACCTTGGGACAACTGGATAAAGGTACATCCTGCCTTCCTTCCAAGATGGGACCGATGTGAGGGAGAAACCGGACTCTGCTCCCTGTGCCTCTTTTCCCACCTGCTCTGCCCCTCCTGCTCTCACTTCCACATCCACTGTAAGCTCGGTTGCTGCTCTACTCAAATTTGAAAATGATGGGAGGTAGAATATAGCCAGTATCAGAATGCAGTTTCTGCACATTTTCTTAAATCTTTCTAATCTTTCTCCATACTACTTCTGAAATTCTCTATGTTTTTTCAGGCCCAAAATATCTGCATTGAAGTCCTGACTGACATCCCTTCATCTGAGAAACCTCCACCAGACACCACCCAGAGCCTCCAGAAGAAGGAGCTGAACCAGGAAGGAGATGGGGCTGCAGCCTTGGAGGGTAAGAAGGAACCCTTTGGGGTGTTTTGGTGTTTTATGCCAGTGAACATTCCCCTTTGGGAATCCACTTGAGCTAGAGAAGGTGTACATGCAGGATCATTTGGCCTTGAGATGAGTATATAGGTATGGAATGGCCAAAAAGTGGTGAAGCCAATGTAAATATTGTACAGAGATAATAAAAGCTAAAGTTATAATAGAAATTGTGATATGGGTATGGTTTGAAAGGAAGGAGACCAGGCTGCGTTTCTGTGGCCCAGTCTGATGATCTGGAAAATAAAGTATGAGAAAGTGCTGGTTTCTACTATATGTAATTTCTTTATTCTTGTGGGTAAACAGTACTTAAGTTCTGTGTGCCAAGTTTGGTTCAATTCTATCGTTGGTGGGGTTCAGAATGCTCTTTGATTGTAGGTTAACTATAAATCCCCTTAACTACAACTCCCAAATGACAAAATCAATTTTTTTTTTAAGTGAAAGTCACTCCTTGGGTTAGTAGGTGTCTTGTGACTAAATTTGGCAGCATTTTGTTTATCGGATTTTGTGTTATGTCATGCTAAACGAGCAGAGCATTTATATATAGATAGATTAGATAAATGAGTGGGGTAATATGGAAAGAAGGAAGAGTGAGAAATAGGAAGAGGTTGGGGAAATGCTGTCATAGACCTGTGGTTCTCAACCTGTGAGTCTCCTGATGTTTGTCCCTCAACTCCCAGAAATCCTAACAGGTGGTAAATTGGCTGGGATTTCTGTGAGTTGTAGGCCAAAACAACTGGGGACCTGCAGGCTGAGAATGATGTGTATGGAATAAATGTACAAAATCTACTCATATCATTAATAATCCATATAAATAAAAATGTAATGTTCGTTCGTGGGATTAACATAACTCAAAAACCACTGGACAAATTGACACCAAATTTGGATAAATTACACCTCTCAGGCAAACGAGTGACCATCACTCATAAAAACACTGAAAAACCAGAAGGGACTTAAAAAGCCAGAAATCAAATATACATTACAATGCACATGCAAAACCACACACACACACACACACACACACACACACACACACACACACACATATATGCGCAAACACACATATACACAGATATATACACACACAAAACACATATACACAGACTGGGCCACAGCAACGTGTGGCAGGGACGGCTAATAATAATAATAAACCTTTTTAAAAACATGACTATATAAGTAGGCATTCGGGTGCAAAAGGGGTAATTTCAGTATGATTTGCAGTTTTTTTTCTGGCAATACTTCTACATTTGCATACTATTGGGTGGGACTGAAAAATCAGCCCTTCATTATCTTCCCAGGTGGGACCCGAAGCTAAGATGAGCCTGAAACTGAGCTGGAAGACAAACCGACAACAAACAATAACTTTAGTCAATTGAAATACCAAGCCCAGGACTTGCTTCAATCCAACCTGCTCACAGCACTGATTGAGATAAAAAGTGCTAAACTTCAAAATGTTACATATTCCTTTGCTGTTGAATTCTCCTGTGTTCATAGGGCCAGTTCCTCATAGGTTTCTTTTCAGGACTGTAGTTGTAACCTCTGAGACATGTTTATGTGTTCAGCTTTCCACCCCTTCCTCTCTCTCCCAGGGGCTGGAATGATGTTGTTGGCAAACCCACAGTCGATTCTTCCCGTTTGTGATGGAGTGGAAGTGAATCAGGTAAACAGAAGGATTCCTGGGAGAGGAGGGATGGAGCTGCCTGGGGGTCATTTCTTCCAGGCTTCGTCATCAAACATCTCTTGAAATGGAAAAGATTGAATGGGAGTTTCTTTAAAGTGAGATACTGAAGGTGCAAGTGCAAACAGTGGCAACAAGGAGGGGGAAAAAGAGTTACAAGCTTGGTAGATGAGGGGAATGTAGACTTGAGGACTTAGTGATTGCTTCACTCTGGCTCTTTAGATTGATACTGAAAGACAGCCATTTTTATCCATTTTATGGGTTTGGCCTCATGTTAGCCGCCCTGAGTCCCCTTGGGGAGATGGTGGTGGAGTATAAATAAAGTATTGTTATTATTATTACTACTACTACTATTATAGCTAATACTAGAAGATAGGATCAGTATTCAAAATGGCCTGAACATGTTAGAGAGCTGTGTCAAAACTAACGAAATTAATTTGAACAAGGATAAATGTGGGATAGTACACTAAGGCAGGAAATACACAACCCAAAGATATTGGATGGGTGACATTTGGTTCGACAACAGTTTATGTTATTATTATTTTGTCTCAAAATCATTGCATAAATTAATATAAGGCTGATAAAAACCGAAGGATTACAAGTGACTAAAATATCTTTTGACCAAAAATGGGAAACATCGACCACATTGTCTGTAGCCTCAAACAATTCTTCCTCTGTACATGAGGCAGGGCATTGTAGACAAGCATACAGACGCAGAGTAGTCTGTTCTGATCCTCAGTTGCACAAGGTGAAGGTAGTGCTATTTTGCCAGGTTGTCTTTTGATCTGCCCACTCCATCTCTGAGTCTGTTCAGGGACTTCCAAGTTGCCCATTTGTGGTTTGCCCCTGGAGGAAGACCCTCGTGGGGGTGGGGCATCCAATTGGGATGTCCTGGTTTATCTGCCCAGAGCGATGCTCTTGCTGTTGCTGGGGGAACGTTGTGTTTCTCATGAAGCTTTTCCTTGATTTGAGTCTACTGGGAGGAGGCTGATAGCCATGCAGAGGGTGGCTTTCACAGTGTTCAACCTTATTGCTCTAACAGCAGCAAGAGTTCATGTGAAAGGCATCTTGTAGTATTAGTAGACCACAAGTTAAACGTGAGCCAACAATGTGATGCACCAGCTTAGAAGCCTATGGGATTTTGGGCTGCATCCAAATGAATGTAGTGTCTACATTAAAGGAAGTCATGGTATATTTATTTATTGTGTCAGGAGTGAACCAAACAGTTGTATTGCATTAAAACACACACACACACACACAGAGAAACAAAACACAAAGTTTGCAGACTTGGTATTCTATTAAATGTCCTTTGACCAGTATCTGGCCACTTGGAGTGCCTCTGGTGTTGCTGCAAGAAGGTCTTCCATTATGCATGTGGCAGAGCTCATGTTGCATTGCAGCAGGTGGTCTGTGGTTTGCTCTTCTCCCCACTTGCATGTCGTGGATTCCACATTGTAGCCCCATTTCTTAGGGTTGGCTCTGCATGTGTTCTTTTTCCCCCAGGGCCCAATTGCCTTTGAGGACGTGGCTGTCCATTTCTCTTTGGAGGAGTGGGCTCTCCTGAGTCCTGATCAGAAAGCCTTGCACGTGCAGATCATGGAGGAGATTCATGGGATAGTGGACACTCTTGGTAAGGCACCCTCACTGATGGGGATTTCTATTTAAGAATGCAGTATTATCCTAAATCATCCCGATCACTGAGAGTTCTCGAGGCAGGGCTTATGCTAGAAATACGTGACATAAGAGTAACATTGACTTGGTCCCTGAGCAACAGCAATCTTAGCACCATTTTGGACTCCAGTGGGAAAACTTCCATAACTGGAGACAAGTCCAAGCACACTATAATCTCTCACAGCAACGGGGCTCCCTGGAAAACCCCAGATCAGTCACACTATCTCTCTCTCTCTCTCTGCAAGTGTATGTGAGAGAGAGAGAGGCAGGGTACGAGGAGAGTAAATATTCAAAAAGTCACCCAGCAAACCTCTTACTCCATATCAGTCAGCCAGTCTCTCTCTCTCTCTCTCTCTCTCGGTGTGTGTGTGAGAGAGAGTGAGAGAGGGAGGAAGGGAGAAGGAAGAAGCAGATTTTCAAAAACTAATCCAGCAAGTCTCTCCTGACTTCAGGCCCACATTTCCAGCCCCCTGGTTTTGCATCCTGTGCGCCCCTAGATGGCTTGGAAAGCCACTGCCTGCTTGAAGCCAAAAGGAGTCTGGAAGATGATGGGAAAGAGTGGTTTTGCAAAAGCAGACTTGCTCTTGATGTCTGGTGACAAGTTTGTTCCCAATAACTCGGGCTCACAGGAAATTTATTAAGAGGCATTGCCCAGATTGATTAGCTGGAGAGTGGAGCATCAAAAAGAACAGACTTCCCCAGGCTTCGTATACACATACACAGCTATGCATCTTTATATTGGGGCCATGTTCAGCCTTGTTTTCGTCCCAGCCAGGCAGTCTAGCCTCTGCATGCTGGAGGGCCAGGCTTTCTTTTTGTAAATTGCCTCTTCCAGCACACAAACTGTCCCTAGCCTCAGTCATTTACATGATGGTGACTTGCAATATAATGTGTTCTATGTTCTGTGCTTGTGAATGATTAGGGCTCTGGGTTCTTTGTTTACAGTCACATGGGGAGAGAGAACTGGAGGTGGGAAGAGAGAAAGGAGAAGAAGGGAATGATTGTGAAATGGGTGGTAGGAAAGGAAAAAAGGAGGAGTCAGAATAAAAAAAATGATGCTTGGCTGAGGAACAGGTATACTCTGGAACATATGTTACTCAGCTCACCCTTAGATGCTTCAGGGAGTCAAACAGTGTCAATCCTACTAAACAAGGGGTGGGGAGAGGACAATGTTTATATCTTAGACTCCTTATCACTTATGCTGAGGAATGATTGTTTCTGTCGTTCTTCTACACAGGAGATGACTGGAAGGAGAGCAATGTATACACCGAATGCAGTAAGAATTTTGGGCACAATGGGGGCCTTTCTAGACACCAGCAAACCCACAGTGGAGACGGAGGTTCTGCCAGAGAAAGGCCCTACAGTTGCAATGTACGTGGGCAGTGTTTTACCCAAAACATGGTACTTGTGCTTCACAAGACACTCCATGCTGAGAAAGGACATCTTAAAGGGGAAGTATCAGCAAAATGTGTTGTTGATGACAAATTGCCACATTTGAGCCAACAAGAAATTTTTGAAGAAACTGAGGATTTCATAAGCCAGGAGTGTGGGAAATATTTTCTCCAGAGTTCACGCTTGGTGAAACATGAGAGGTTTCACGCAGGAGAGAAACCACACCAATGCCAGGAGTGTGGGAAATGTTTTGCCTACAGTTCACTCTTGGTGAGGCACAAAATACTCCACACAGGAGAAAGGCAATACCAATGCCAGGATTGTGGGAAGAGTTTTGCTTACAGTTCAGCCTTGGTGAGGCACAAAAGACTCCACACAGGAGAGAAGCCATACCAATGCCAGGAGTGTGGGAAATGTTTTGCTTACAGTTCAGCCTTGGTGAGCCATAAAAGACTCCACACAGGAGAGAAGCCATACCAATGCCAGGAGTGTGGGAAATGTTTTGCTTACAGTTCAGCCTTTGGTGAAGCACAAAAGACTCCACACAGGAGAGAAGCCATACCAATGCCAGGAGTGTGGGAAAGGTTTTGCTCAGTTCAGCTTTGGTGAGCCACAAAAGACTTCACACAGGGGAGAAGCCATACCAATGCCAGGAGTGTGGGAAATGTTTTGCTGACAAATCAGCCTTGGTGAGGCACAAAAGACTCCACACAGGAGAGAAGCCATACCAATGCCAGGAGTGTACGAAATGTTTTGCTGACAGTGCAGCCTTGGTGAGCCACCAAAGACTCCACACAGGAGAGAAGCCATACCAATGCCAGGAGTGTGGGAAATGTTTTGCTCACAGTTCAGCCTTGGCGAGCCACAAAAGACTCCACACAGGAGAGATAACATACCAATGCCAGGAGTGTGAGGAGTGGTATTCTTCCAAGTCATCACTTCTGAGACACCAGAGCACTCACACAGGAGATAAGTCATCCCAATGCCAGGAGTGTGGGAAATGTTTTGCTGACAATTCATCCTTGGTGAGGCACAAAAGACTCCACACAGGAGAGAAGCCATACCAATGCCAGCAGTGTGGGAAATGTTTTGCTGACAGTTCGGCGTTGGTGAGGCACAAAAGACTCCACACGGGAGAGAAGCCATACCAATGCCAGCAGTGTGGGAAATGTTTTGCTGACCCTTCAGTCTTCTTGAGGCACGAAAGACTCCACACAGGGGAGAAGCCGTACCAATGCCAGGAGTGTGGGAAATGTTTTGCTTCCAGTACAGCCTTGGGGAGCCACAAAATAGTCCACACAGGAGAGAAACCATACCAATGCCAGGAGTGTGGGAAATGTTTTGCTCGCAGTTCAGCCTTGGTGACCCACAAGAGACTCCACACAGGAGAGAAACCATACCAATGCCAGGAGTGTGAGAAATGTTTTGCTGACAGTTCAGCCTTAGTGGGCCACAAAAGACTCCACACAGGAGAGAAACCATACCAATGCCAGGAGTGTGGGAAATGTTTTGCTTATAGTTCACACTTGGTGAGCCACAAAAGACTCCACACAGGAGAGAAACCATACCAATGCCAGGAGTGTGGGAAATGTTTTACTCAGAGTTCATATCTTGTGAGTCACCAGAGAATTCATTGAGGAGAAAAACCATCCAAAGAGCTGGGACAAGCATAATAAAATGAATTGCAACAAGGAAATTGCAAGTTGGGACATTCTGTTCCTGTGTGTAGACTATACATTCAATATTTGCCAATGAATACGTGTGGTTCACTTGGTTTCAATGAGCACTTGGTTTGACTTTGGACTGATTTCTTAGTCAATTCCCTTCTTGGTTTCCTACTCTTTTCAGGTTTTTTGCTTTGTTTGGCTTCGGACTATTTTGGAGAACTCTTTTGCTTCTCTGTTCACGGGCCTCACCATGGGACTGGACTGACTTTCCTCTGTTTGTGGCTAAACATCCCATTTCAAACAGGACCCTTTGAGAAGTCCTGCCTAAGGTTTGGTAGAGTCCACTTTCTTGTCCTTTGAGGTCCTCTTCTGTGGAGGAGCATAAAGCAAGCTCCCTGTGACAATATTTTAAAAATAAACCATATGTAACTCCATCAGTTGTTCCTCTCGGCTTCGTTTCCATCTCCTTTACCACCTTGGTTGCTAATTTCCAGTTTGTGAGTGTTGTCCTTCAGCTGGGATTCCAGAATTGAACACAGTCCTTCTTTTGATGCCCAGCCAAAGAAAAAGATGCTTGCATGGTTATTTCCCTTGATGTGCAAATCATATTTTTGGCTAGCAATTACTGCCTGTTTCCTTGCTCCTGGCTCACAAACTTTTAATCCACATTAAATTAAAAAACACGAGTCTTGTTTTTATTTTAGAATTAACAATGCTATTTAGGTTTTCCTCTGACATTAAGTCCCGTCGTGCCTGACTCTGTGGTGTGCTCATCTGCATTTCTAAGCCAAAGAGTTAGTGTTGTCCTTAGACACCTCCAAGGTCATGTGGCCGGCATTACCTATTGATATACTCATATTTACATGTTTTTGAACTGATTGATTGATTTTGTTATAGACTATGAGAATTTGATCTGTTTTGCAAAATTTAAGTCCCTGGATGTTATATTAAGGGAATAATAGCTTTCCATTGAACTGTACAGAACCCTAGGATATATGGCGCTTTATAGTGTCGATCTCCATATGGGAAGTTTTAGACCATTTTAACATATTTTAACTCATTATTTTAACATTCTCCAAAGAAGGACTTCTGTTCCAATATGGAATATTTATAATGGTTTTTTTTATATTGTATTTTCTGCAACAGACTCTTTATTGCTGTAAACCGCCTTGAGTCCATTGGAGAAAGACGATATGGAAGCTCCCCTAATAAATAAATATGTTTGTCTGTAGAGTAAGAAAAACAACAGAATTCGTATCATTAATACAAGCTTCCCAACTTGTTGTTCATGCCTTCAGCCGTTTCCAACTCTTCGTGACCTGATGGGTCAGCCCACACCTGTGCTCCCTGTTGGCCATCACCACTCCCAGCTCCTTCAAGGTCAATCCAGTCACTTCAAGGATGCCATCCATCCATCTTGCCCTTTGGTCGGCCCCTCTTCCTTTTTCCTCCCATTTCCTCCAGCATCATTGTCTTCTCTAAGCTTTCCTTTCTTCTCATGATGTGGCTTCCCAACTAGTCACTTCCAATTGCTTGAGAGCATTTATTTACCAGTATAGAGATTACCATATTTATGCGAATTTATGGTGCATCTTTTTTGGCTAAATGACCATGCCAGAATTGGGGTGTGTATCACATTTGTGTATTATGGTAAAGCGTGGGTGGGCAGGTGTGTTCACACAGGAGAGGCAGTGGGAGCATGTACCGGCCTCCCTGTCAGCCCCAAGACACCTTTGCCTTCTCCACTTTCGCTTCCTTTGCTCCTGGGGCTTGTCCCCTTCCCCTCTGCTCCCGGGCCCCGCCAGTGCCAGGACTGCCTCCTACTGCTGCAGGTGAGGCCTCCTTCCGCTACACACATCTAGGAACTGAGCAAATAATCTTGGAAACGATTTCAGTGCTGTCCCTAGTAGCAGGTTTCCAGGGGCACTACTGTTGCTGGGTATATTTTGCAGTGGCGCCTCTGGATCTACTTGATTTCAAAGTCATTTCTGTGTTTCAAGCAGTATTACTATTTTCCTTCCCCAACCAGGTCGATGGATTGAGGAGCAAAGGCATAAGGGGAGGGGCCCCAGGAAGACAGTTCCATCTTGTCTCCTGCCTGTGCCATCAGTTGGGAGCGCCTCCCCCCAGCACCGACTGCTGCTCTGGGACACGAGAGAAGTGATGGGGCCCAGGAAGACAGTTCCATCATGTCTCCTGCCTGTGCCATCAGTTGGGAGCTCTTCCCCCCAGCATCGATTGCTGCTCTGGGACCAGAGTGAAGAGAGGGGGCCCAGGAAGACAGTTCCATCTTGTCTCCTGCCTGTGCCATCAGTTGGGAGCTCTTCCCCCCAGCATCGATTGCTGCTCTGGGACCAGAGTGAAGAGAGGGGGCCCAGGAAGACAGTTCCATCTTGTCTCCTGCCTGTGCCATCAGTTGGGAGCGCCTCCCCCCAGCACCGACTGCTGCTCTGGGACACGAGAGAAGTGATGGGGCCCAGGAAGACAGTTCCATCATGTCTCCTGCCTGTGCCATCAGTTGGGAGCTCTTCCCCCCAGCATCGATTGCTGCTCTGGGACCAGAGTGAAGAGAGGGGGCCCAGGAAGACAGTTCCATCTTGTCTCCTGCCTGTGCCATCAGTTGGGAGCGCCTCCCCCCAGCACCGACTGCTGCTCTGGGACACGAGAGAAGTGATGGGGCCCAGGAAGACAGTTCCATCATGTCTCCTGCCTGTGCCATCAGTTGGGAGCTCTTCCCCCCAGCATCGATTGCTGCTCTGGGACCAGAGTGAAGAGAGGGGGCCCAGGAAGACAGTTCCATCTTGTCTCCTGCCTGTGCCATCAGTTGGGAGCGCCTCCCCCCAGCACCGACTGCTGCTCTGGGACACGAGAGAAGTGATGGGGCCCAGGAAGACAGTTCCATCATGTCTCCTGCCTGTGCCATCAGTTGGGAGCTCTTCCCCCCAGCATCGATTGCTGCTCTGGGACCAGAGTGAAGAGAGGGGGCCCAGGAAGACAGTTCCATCTTGTCTCCTGCCTGTGCCATCAGTTGGGAGCGCCTCCCCCCAGCACCGACTGCTGCTCTGGGACACGAGAGAAGTGATGGGGCCCAGGAAGACAGTTCCATCATGTCTCCTGTCTGTGCCATCAGTTGGGAGCTCTTCCCCCCAGCATCAATTATTTATTTATTTATTATTTATTTATTTATTACTTGCACTTATTAACCGCCACTCTCAGCCCTAGGGCGACTCGTGGCGGTGTACAAAAACATAGAAAAGACAATTTACAATAAATCATGACAACAGACAACATTCTACTACTACATAACATCTACTTATACTAAAAATCCGCATCGTCTTAACATGGGGTCATAATCAATCTCATAGTCGTGGTCCATTCCGGTCGTCATATCACATAGCACTCAATTGAAGGCCATCTCAAAGAGCCATGTTTTCAGGCCCTTACGGAAGGCCATGAGGGAAGGCGCCTGTCTAACTTCAGCAGGGAGGGTGTTCCACAGCCGGGGGGCCACCACCGAGAAGGCCCGCTCTCTCGTCCCCGCCAGGCGTGCCTGTGAGGCAGGCGGGACCGAGAGAAGGGCCTCCCCAGATGATCTCAAGGTCCTCGTGGGCTCATAGGCCGAGATGCGGTCTGCAAGGTATTTTGGGCCGGAACCGTTTAGGGCTTTGTAGGATAACACCAGCACCTTAAATTGGGCCCGGTAGCAGATCGGCAGCCAGTGGAGCTGGGACAACAAGGGCGTTGTATGCTCCCTGCGTCCTGCTCCTGTTAGTAACATGGCTGCCGCGCGCTGGACAAGCTGAAGCTTCCGGGCCGTCTTCAAGGGCAGCCCCACGTAGAGAGCGTTGCAGTAGTCAAGGCGGGATGTGATCCAGAGCGTGTACCACCGTGGCCAAGTCAGACTTCCCGAGGTACGGGCGCAGCTGGCGCACGAGCCTAAGCTGTGCAAATGCTCCCCTGGTCACCGCTGGGTACGGGCACAGCTGGCGCACGAGCCTAAGCTGTGCAAATGCTCCCCTGGTCACCGCTGAAACCTGGGGTTCCAGGCTCAGCGATGAATCCAGGGTCACACCCAAGCTGCGAACCTGCATTTTCAGGGGGAGTGCGGCCCCATCCAACACAGGCTGTAACCCTATGCCCTGTTCGGCCTTGCGACTGACCAGGAGGACCTCTGTCTTGTCTGGATTCAATTTCAATTTGTTCGCCCTCATCCAGACCGTTACAGCGGCCAGGCACCGGTTCAGGACTTCGACAGCAGGTGGAAAGGAGTGACAGAGTTGGACATCATCTGCGTACAGATGACACCGCACCCCGAAACTCCGGATGATCTCACCCAGCGGCTTCATGTAGATGTTAAACAGCATGGGGGACAGTATGGAGCCCTGAGGAACCCCACAGGTCAAAGGCTGTGGTGTTGAACAGGAGTCCCCCAATAACACCTTCTGGGTACGGCCCTCCAGAAATGACTGGAGCCACTGCAGAGCAGTGCCCCCAAGACCCATTTCCGCAAGGCGCCCCAGAAGGATACCGTGGTCGACGGTATCGAAGGCCGCTGAGAGGTCCAGGAGCACAAACAGGGACACACTCCCCCTGTCTAGCTCCCGGCGCAGATCATCCACTAAGGCGACCAAGACCGTCTCGGTACCATGTCCCGGTCTGAAACCAGACTGTGCCGGATCCAGATAATCCGTGTCTCTCAAGAATACCTGGAGTTGTGAGGCCACCACGCTTTCCATGACTTTGCCCAAAAAGGGGAGATTGGAAACAGGCCGAAAGTTGTCAAATTTAGTGGGGTCCAATGATGGTTTCTTCAACAGCGGTTTTATAATAGCTTGTTTTAAGCTCGCTGGAATCTTGCCTTCCCGAAGGGAGGCATTAACCACCACCGTTACCCACTCAGCCAATCCCCCTCTGGCCTCCTTCAGAAGCCAGGATGGGCAGGGGTCTAGGATGGACGTGGTGGCCTCATTCCTCCAAGTATCTTGTCCACATCCTCGGGCTTCACAAACTGAAAAGAATCCATCAAAATAGGACAATTGCTGCTCTGGGACCAGAGTGAAGAGAGGGGGCCCAGGAAGACAGTTCCATTTTGTCTCCTGCCTGTGCCATCAGTTGGGAGCTCTTCCCCCCAACACCGACTGCTGCTCTGGGACCTGAGTGAAGAAAGGGGGCCCAGGAAGACAGTTCCATCTTGTCTCCTGTGTTATGCTACTAATATAATATAATATAATATAATATAATATAATAATATAATATAATATAATATAATATAATATAATATATCGTATTTACGTGGGGGCCCCGGTGGCACAGTGGGTTAAAGCTGCTGAACTTGTTGACCAAAAGCTTGCAGGTTCAAATCCACGGAGTGGCACGAGCTCCCATTGTTAGCCCCAGCTTTCTGCTAGCCTAGCAGTTCAAAAACATACAAATGTGAGTAGATCAATAGGTACTGTTCTGGCGGGAAGGTAATGGTGCTCCATGCTGTCATGCCGGCCACATAACCTTGGAGGTGTCTACAGACAACGCTGGCTCTTCGGCTTAGAAATGGAGATGAGCACCAACCCCCAGAGTTGGACACGACTGGATTTAATGCCAGAGGAAAACCTTTACACTTACTACTGTATATACATATAATGTTTATAATATTATAATGTAATACAATATAATACTACTAATAATATATTATTATAATTATATATTTTATATTACACCACGCGTTGCTGTGGCCCAGCCTGGTGATCTGGAAAATAAAGTAATGAGAAAGTGTTGGTTTCTAATATATGTAATGTCTATGCTTGTGGGTAAACAGTATTTCTTGCTGTTTCTTTGTCAGTGTTGATGTGGAGAGTGTCTGGTTTGCCCACCTTGGAACATGCAACATATCGTTGTCCATCGTTAGGGGTCCCTTTCAAATCTATGATACTATCTCTGTGTGTGTGAATCATATATATATCTCTATGTCTATGGCTGGATGGCTCTTTGTCAGGAGGACTTTGATTACGTTTTCTTGCCATGATGAAGGGAGTTGGATTGGATGGCCTTAAGTATTTTCTGTTGGTCATGGGGGTTCTGTGTGGGAAGTTTTTGTCCCGATTCTGTCATTTGTGGGGTTCAGAATGCTCTTTGATTGTAGGTGAACTGTGAAACCCAGTGACTACAACTCCCAAATGTCAAGGTCTATTTCCCCAAACTCCATCTGTGTTCATATTTGGGCGTATTGAGTGCTTGTGCCAAGTTTGGTCCAGATCCATCATTGTTTGGTCCACAGTGCTCTCTGGATGTAGGTGAACTACAACTCCTAAACTCAAGGTCAATGCCCACCAAACCCTTCCAGTATTTTCTGTTGGTCATGGGAGTTCTGTGTGCCAAGTTTGGTTCAATTCCATCGTTGGTGGAGTTCAGAATGCTCTTTGATTGTAGGTGAACTACAAATCCCAGCAACTACAACTCCCAAATGACAAAATCATAATTTTTTGAGTGATGGTCACTCCTTGTGTTGTGAGACGTTTTGTTGCCAAATTTGGTGTGATTTCGTTCATTGGTTCTTTTGTTTTTAAGGTACTCATTACGCACAGAGCATTTATATATATATAGATATTACTAATACTATTACAGTATAATGGTTTACTTTGTTGTTGTTCATTCGTTCAGTCATCTCCGACTCTTCGTGACCTCATGGACCAGCCCACGCCAGAGCTCCCTGTCGGCCGTTACCACCCCCAGCTCCCTCAAGGTCAGTCCAGTCACTTCAAGGATGCCATCCATCCATCTTGCCCTTGGTCGGCCCCTCTTCCTTTTGCCTTCCACTTTCCCCAGCATATTGTCTTCTCTAGGCTTTGCTGTCTCCTCATGATGTGGCCAAAGTACTTCAACTTTGTCTCTAGTCTCCTTCCCTCCAGTGAGCAGTCGGGCTTTATTTCCTGGAGGATGGACTGGTTGGATCTTCTCGCAGTCCAAGGCACTCTCAGAACTTTCCTCCAACACCACAGTTCAAAAGCATCTCTTCCTTCGCTCAGCCTTCCCTAAGGTCCAGCT